TACTAGTAGATCTCTAACGTCTCACCGCCGCCGACAGAGGTGGTCGGTTGGAAATATAGGGATCTTGTCGTGGCCTGCACCTTGACAGACACAAACAAGACGGGACACCAAACGAGTAAATGCAGTGTCATGGCTTTCCTATTTGCTACACGCTGCGCTTTGGATCTATATGGAAGCGACACGAATTGAGTCGGTAGTGGGATCGCGCGCATAGCAAGCGACCGAGATTTCCCGCATTCGAGGGTTGACTTGGCCAACGAGATCTCTCTCGTTCGACGGCAAAAACGCCTGCGTCACGACGGGCGACAAGGCGTTCTGTGGCCTCCCGACGCAGTCGTTTGCGCAGTGGAAGAAGGTGGCGACGACCGTCGACCCGATCGAACAAGTGGCGACGGCCAACGGCCTCGCCTATGTGTGGGGCGGCGCGTCTGGTGCGCGCCTCATGCAGACCGTCGACTTGGCGTCGGGTGCGACGCACAACACGGCGCTCCGCGCGGACGAGTCGCCGCGTCAGTTCTCGACCGACGGCAAGACCGTGGTGGGCACCACCGACTCGCGCTTCTTCGGCGCGGCGGTCGTCAACGGCGCGATGGACTCGCCCGTGACGATCGCGGACAGCGACAGCTTGGACGTGTACAAGACGGCGGTCGCTGGCAACGACGTGTACATCACCGACTACGAAGGCGTCATCAAGTACTCGACGCTCGATTCGTCGACTTGGACCGTGCGCCCGTTCGGCTACGTGGACACGGACTTTCGCGCGCGCGAGTTGGCGTCGGACGGCGTCGACCTCTGCGTGATCACGTACAGCCTCGAGATTGCGTGCGCCAAGCTGGCGACGGGCCTCGAGACGTGGGAGACGTACCCGGGCCAGTGGCAGGCGATCGCGGTCGCCAACAACACGCTCACGGCCGTGGCGTTTGTGAACCGCGACATCCAGGTCACGCAGCTCAAGTAACTTTTTGTTCGTTTGAAACGAGATCATTGCATAGAATATACACCAGCATTTTTGTACATCAACGAGTTGTGGCTCATGACTTGATTTGTACGCGGCGTTGCATGAGATATAACACGTGCAAATAAGAGATCATGTGACAGCTCGAATTGCTCAATAACACCAGGCTGCATGATGACTATGAATACATTTAGTGTCTGGTCTGAGGTGTGTTCTTAAGTGGATTCAACGCGTCTTGGTACACATCTGGACTCATCAAAATGTTGGCGGTGTTGAGGGTCGACCACGTGATAGGCACCGCTCGGAATGCCACAAACGAAAGGAGCGAGAGAAGCGTCGCTCCAAGCGTCGCGAGCCGTGCGACTGCAATCTCAATTCCAAAATACGTCAGACGGTCGTCGTGGTTTTCGATCGCGTCAATGATGGACTCGAACATCGCAATGCGCTCGTCAAATCCCGATGCATCGCCTTGCAACAGCGCCTTTCGGCGTGCAAAGTCGAGCTCGAGCAGTTGCTTTCGCAGCATCGGCCCGTGCTTGTGCTGAATGTCGAGCGCTGCGGCCAAAGGCACGAGCATTGCCAGCGTTGAGAGCGACCCAAAGAGACCGATCAAGAGCAAAAAATACGTGGGCAGTGGCGCTGCCCCGGCGATACAGTACACGAGAATGCCCGTCGCCGTGCAAGCAAACTGGAGTAGCGCGCCTCCGACAAATGCCGTTGTCCATTCCGTTAGAAACGCAGTGGCGGCGCGGACGCCGTTGCGGAGCGTAAACCACGCGTGGAGGTTCTCCCCGTCCGTGAGCGCAATCGTCATGCGCCCTTTCTGCGGCAGAATGATTCCGAACTCGGTGAGCGAATTGAAGCGCAGCCAAAGAGACCAGATATTGAACGCGATCACCATGAGAAGGATCGTGAGAAAGGTCAGTTGAATGAGGTACTTGAGCGCGAGAGCGATCTGCAACCCTCCCGGTAACACTTTCCCGTGCAAATAGTCCGTAAACGCGCTCAGCGACACGGATTCGAACGCGATCACATATCGGAGCGATAGCCAACGGACGTCGCTGCACGTCATCGGGAACCGCACGCGAAACGTCAGCGCCGACTGATCGTCGTTGAGCCCGATTGTCACATTTCGGGCATTTGTGTGTTTGACATCCATGTGCCACGAAGCGACTAGCGCAAACGTCGTGCCGACGGCGTCGGCACGACTGTCGTAAAATCCAAACGTAAGAAGCGGACTTCCATTCGGCGATGCATCGACAAGCAAGTTCACGAGGGCGTCCGACGTTGTTGCGGACGAGTTGACGCAGTGCGAGATCGTAGAGCTGACACGGTACATGGGCTGATCAGGTGACGTCACGAGACCATTGACACCGGTTGCAACGACGCTCATGGGCACCGTTCCACTCGGCCAGAAGACAACAAAGAACTCGTTGTATACAATCACAGCAAGAAGAAAACAAAGACAAACAGCTTCGGTGCCGCGAGCCGCCGTGTGGTGCAGTGGTGCACCGTGTGTGCTTCAAAGACGGCGGCGACGTCTGCGGGCGGCACGTGCATGCCATTCGTCGCGACAAAATCCAAGTTTGTGACGTCAATGGTTTTGGCCTCGGCAGCAAAGCGCACGACCAGCGCAGGTGGTACTGAATCGGATCCATCCAATTTATAGAGTTCATCGCGATACTCCGATTGTTTAACAGTAATATCCCGCAACAGAAGGTAAGCCATCGACGGTTGCGCAAGGTACACGACAAAGAAGACAAGCGTGTAGATCTCCAAGAGACACCAAAAAACAATTTGTGGCTGGAATGGGCATGTGAGAATCAGCAGCGTGAGTACTGCCATCCCATACACGACAAAGACTCTGAGTGCTTTCTTGTCGAGGCCGTGCCAAACGTCCAGCGGTCGCCCGAGCATCCAGTGAAGCGAAGCCGACGACGTGCCAGAGCGGGACAAGAGATATAGAAGTGGCATCGCAACCGGTGCGAGCAGAAGTATGCCAAAAATCCATCGCCCGTCCGTGCGCCACCGACAGAGGAAATTCTGGTACATTTCAAGCCGCTGTCGACTGGTCTCGACCAATGGTGGGTACTTACTTGCTGGCTTGGCGATAAAAATGTCATCGGGTGCATACGTGTGCTTGTACGCTGCGTAGCAGGACGCACACACCGTGTAATCGCAACCGTTGGGCCGCGAGAGGTCGTACACCGTCCCCTCGATGCTCTTGGGCACACCGAGACGCAAGGGATCTCTTGGCAAAAGATGTCGCGAGGACCGTCGTACGTCGGTGCCGGCGGTAGTTCTTGGTCAGCAGCACCTTGACCCATGGTGTCGACTGCCGACTTTGTGTGGTCGTTGTCGACGGTTGTCTCGGTTGCCGTGGTCTTGTCGACATTCGCCGAGATCATTCGGTGCGCCACGTAAGCGGCGATGCGATCATCGACGTTGTCGAGCATGAGCATCTCCATCTCGGACGGCGTGAGCTCTTCATCCTGAGCCTCGTCATCATGGGCCATTGCCGCACGCCGTTGCAAGTAAGCGGCGATGCGGTCGTCGGCGCAGTCAAACGAGAGCATCTCGATCTCCGACGACGTGAGCTCAGGTTGCATGGCCGCTTGGTATACACGATGATAAATGTGGTGTGGTGTACTTTGGAGGAGGCTCCACTGACACTCTTAGGATCCTTTCAAGTACGTTCGTTGGGTTGCGTTGAGTACGATTGGCTATGGGACGCTGGCGACGCTTCATCGTGTCGGTTTTCGCCCTAGAAAATTAGATATTGCTCGATCATCGAAACGAAATGGGTGTTTTGCGCGCGTAGGAACTCGAAACGACCTTTTCACGAAGGGGCGTATCTTGCGAGCAGTCGTATAGCTAGCATTCTAGATATTGATGCCTTCGAAGCGACCCGCCTCACCTCCCCCGAGGTCATGGCAGTACTAAAGGCATAACGCCCCTTGCCCCCTGAGCATGCTCGCCATTGTGAAATATATCTTTGGTCGTCCCACACCGCTTCAGTGGCTTCACAGCCAGTTTGGTTATATCGCAACAGGCCAATGAGCTCTACCCAAGTCTAACGATGGAAGGGTGATTGGGATCGATCCAAAAGGCTACTCCCCCAATGACTCAACCCGCCACACAAGACGCACGCTAAACATCGTCGCGTCTCGAGCCGCTACGGCGACATGTCGTATCGTTCGACACACGCCCTTTTAGCGTCGTGCCACGTCGTTGGCGCCGCGTCGAAGCGGCGTTTCGCGTCCATAGAAGAATCGTTAGCGTTCGATCAAAACAAAAGATATATACCTTTGGTACCGCTTCGGTCTCACGACAAGGAGTCCATTTCGCTTTCTGCCACGTGCCCGAGGCATCCGATGAACTCTGCGGTCCAGCCCTCGACCGACGACGAAAGCGAGATCGTCGTCTCCGTCGACTGCACCGACGCGTCATCCCCACGCCCGCCAACGCCAGCACCAGACGCAACGCGCAAAGTATACTGCCAAGGTGACGACTGCCGAGCGAAGTTGCACCAAGATGCGCTCGACCCAACCTCAGCGATGCACGTCGAGGGTTCGGTTGATATCTACTGTCCAAGCTGCTTTAGCAAGCTTCCAGGCAAGCCAGAGCCATCCCCCGTTCGCCAATTGCCCGTCGTGTCGTCCTTCAAAAACCCGAAGTGCGATGGCAAGCTCGACAAGTACAAGGCCATCATGGAAGATTCGCACGTGCATCTCGTCTATCTCGCCATAGTCGTCATTTTTTGGCCACTCGCGTGGGGCTACTTTTGTACCAAGCTCCAACACTACCCGCTGCCCGAGCCGTCGTACACTGCCACGTGGCGAGATCGATTGCACTGGATCATGGCTGCTGTCTCGCACCTCCAGTGCTTCTGCTGCTGTGCCTACATCTGGTTCATCTTTGTCGTCATCTATCAGAGCTGCGAGTATGCCGCACAAGCGTGGTTCTGGGTCCTTCTTGAATTCTACACGCTCTACTTTCTCCTGCTCAACGTCATCTACGTCGCGACCCCCATCGTGCCTGCAAAGCCGTTACGCGATGCCAAACAAATCGTCCGCGCGATGTGGGCCACGCACCGCACGCGGCAGATCAACAACCGCTGGCATCTAATGCTTCGACGCAGGACGACCAAAACCCCCTTGCTCGTGTGTTCAAAGCAGTCATGCTCACAGTGGTGCCTGTCGCCGGCATTGGCTGCGTGGAGTACCTCTTGGCCTCGCTCCCCAACACCTATTTGGTCGCTAAGGTCGGCGATGACGTCGAAGCGCTCGTCTTTACGGGTGCCGATGGCCAGCCACTGCCGGATGACACCGCACCCAATGCGTTTCCTGCGTGTGTCAACAGTCACTCGAAATTGCGGGCGTATCATAGAGTTCTCAAAAGTACCACCCCCTCGTCGTCGCGGTGAACATCTGGCTCATGCTCTCGTGGGTCACGCACGCGTGGCCATCTCGCAACTTTGGGATCCCGATCGAGACGTTGATCCAGCTGCCCGCCAACGTTCGCTACAACGTGGTTGGTACCATGACCGATATCTGTCAACCGAACGATGATGGAACGTTCCGCGCAGTGTGGAACTTGGCCTTGACGCCGACGCCAAGTGTCATGAACGGGCTTCCGACAATCGAGCTGAGCTTTGCGACAAGGCTCCTCGACCCAGTGTATTTCACAGATCTCGCCGTTGGAACGCTTTGGCTCGTGGCGCAGGACACGTACTCGATGGCGGTGCGCCCGGCCGTGAACCAACACATTATGACGATCCAGGCGTCCTTTGGCAACGTCTCGAGCTGTGACGACGTCGCCAATCTGCTAGTCCTTCATTCAACGACGTATTCGCAAAAATCACTTCAAGACCGTCTGGAGGCCGCACCACGAGGCCTAGCACTGCTGCCCACATTTCTTCTGGCGAAATACTGCTTCCAGATGCTCGTGGTGGCTGGCATTGTCGGGTACTCGTCGCTCCAGATTTTGTCGCTCTGGCTGCAATTTGACGCGCTCACTAAAAAGGTGGATCTGACGCTGCACCAGAACCTGGATGTGTGGTACCGTCTTCGCAATCGCGTGTTCAAGGTCGTCACCTTCTATACGCAGTTTGTGACGTCGCTCATGTCGATAGCGCTCGTTCAGCTCACGGTCGCCATCAGTGGCCTTGTCATCTACTGCCTCAGCGGCGTCGCGCCACTGCCCGGGTACTATCTTTTGATTCTAACAATGGTCGGATCGCTCTCGACGCTGGTGTTTCTCCTGCCATTGGCCAATGCGCTCGACATTCAAGCCAGTCACGAGGCGATGCTTCACGCCTTGGTATTGCAACTACACCACAAACGAGCGGTGCGAAACAAAATAGACCGACTAAGCTTGATGTCGTGCTTGTCGCGGCTCATTCAGCTGGTCGGTCCTAACGACGACCGCATTTGCTTTTGGGGCGTCGAGCTCTCGTTGGCTCGGCTCTTTGGACTCACGTTTTCGATTGGGTCAGGCTTATCGGTGGTCTTCTCCCGCACCGTATACCACAGCTGGTCGGATCCATTGTATGGTACGTAGGTGAACAAAGTAATCAAATCATGCCGGGTTGACAATGGCAGGGCAATCACCTAGTAAAGAAGGTGATCAATGCAATTGCTAGTTCCAACCCTCTTTACACATTGCAACCGGTTGTACTTCGGAATCGCGGTGGATTACCGCTTGGCAACACACGTTTTGGGAAGGCCCCCTGATCAATATCGCGGTCGGTGCGCGCGTCCATCACTCATTTCAGTGGTTGTACCCAAGCGTTTACGCCAGACGCATCAAGCCCGTATTGCACGAGGAGGCGGCACCAACGAGGCACGATGACATCCACGTACTAGTACAGTTCTACAGACATTCTCTGTGTTAATTGACAAGATAATTGGAGGGCTAGGGGAATATCTGACACATCTGATCTCACCCATGGCGCCATCGGTCGATCCAATTAATAGATGCCGTGCCGCCAGAGCTGACTAATCAAAAACTGTACCGCCTAAATTGGCCAATCAAGCGCTGTGGACTTGTTTTGAGATTACGAGTACGGTGGCCCTCACTTTTCAATTGACGGCATGGCCCCCACGCCGAAGCACCAGCGTGTTTGTCGCCAACGCCTCAGCCTCGCCAAGCAAGCCAGTATCGTGGGCAAGGTCAAGGCCGACAAGATGAGGGCGGAAGCAAGGCGATCACCGCTTTGATGAAACGCAGCGACGCCGTCGAGACCGAGTTCTAATCGCAGCGCGCGTACGGACTGAATGGCAAGAAGCTCAAGCGGCGGACGCTTACTGTCGCATCGACGCATGTGAAGGTCATCAAGGACCTTGGCGCCCTCGGTACGATAGTTGTCCTCCTAATTATGGTTGTGCTAACACTTTAACGCTGCATAGACAATCAAACGCCACCAAACTAGTACTACAAGTCTCTCATTTTCTTCCTCGTGCCTCCAAACGCAACGAGCCTCTTGCAGCCGATCGACATGGGCATCGTCCGCAGCCTCAAGGCGGAATACCTCCAACTGCGCGACCTCGACAAGCTGGACGCTCATCTCGCATTGAAAGCCAGGAGCCAGTTTAACGTCAAAAGCACATGCACCTCTCTCACTGCCTCGATTGGCTCCGAGCGGCATGGGACGACGCGCCCATGAAGATCATTCGCCGATGCTGGGCAAAGGCCTCCGCGGTGCCTGCCCCTCTGAACGCTCTGTTAGAGCAAGATGTCGCCCGACCCGTCCAAGAAGCCCGAGCTCGACGAGCTAGCAACCCTATTAAAGCGCTCCACACTAGTACCGGCAAATCAGGGGTGATTGATGGATTAGTTCATGACGACATGGCGTGCTGCGATGCATCGCTATCGTTTGACATTGACGAGGCTGCAATGGAAGTCGAAGAGAACGAGAATGAGGCCATTCTGTGGACGCTAGTGTCGAGTCCTGGTGATATAAACATCTGGCATGAGCAATACATATTGTTTTTCGTATGAGCATACTCAGTTGTATACGATCTTTGTTCACCAACGCAATTATCAATTCACGCAGAGGATGTGTGTTGTACGAGCGACACGGCCGACATCTTCCTCGACCTTCTCAAAGTCGATCGGCTTCAAATGCGCGAACGACGGCAGCTGGATCGGGTTCTGGCGGTAGCCTTGGGAGGCTTGGTACGTTTGATGATACTCGTGCTCGGCTACGTCACGGTTCCGCTCCATCATCTTGGCCATATAGACATCGAAATCGCCGGCCGTCATGTTGCCCATCTTTCCGTCGGGGTAGAGCTTCCAGCCCATCGTGGACTCGGTACCCATCGTGTTGCCCGAGTCTTGGCGGCGGGTCGATCGAGGAGACGTCGGCAACGGCGTCTGGCGGGCGCGGTGGTCATCTGGGTCGCTATCGTTGCGGCTGCCAAGGCCGAAAGCTCTATAAACGACTTTCATCGGGGTTGGACGGAAGCAAAAACGGGCGCGTGTGGAAACCGTTCGTGGACTTAGAGAAAAATAATTATGTGTGGCGTGCCGAGCTTCCAATGCACTTGGTCCTTGGCGAGCGGGAGGCGAATGCGAGGTTGGCACCGACACGTCAGTTGCTTACTGCTATTAGTGCACAAGACGTTAATACCGTTGGTAGTTGTGTTTCCGTCATACAATATGTTACATGTTGTTTCGTATTGTGCATTGTGTTCAACTCCTCTTAATGATCATCTGGGGTGTGTTTACGAGCGGATTCAGGGCGTTGCTGTACATCTCCGGCCGCACAATATTGAAGCTGTTGAGGTCGGACCACGTGATCGGCACGGCGCGAAAGACCACAAACGAGAGGAGCGACACCAAAGTTGCACTGAGCGTTGCGAGCCGCGCCAGAGAAATTTCAATCCCGAAAAATGCAAGACGGTCGTCATTGTGCTCGATCGCATCAATGACGGTCTCAAACATCGCAATGCGCTCGTCCAACGTTGTTGCGTCGTCTTGTAACTGCGCCTTTCGACGCTGAAACTCGAGCTCGAGGAGGTGCTTTCGCAGCATGACGCTGTGGTTGCGCTGAATGTCAAGCGCAGCTGCGAGGGGTACGAGCATCGCGAGTGTCGAGAGCGATCCAAGTAGCCCGATCACGAGTAAAAAGTACGTGGGAAGCGGCGCCGAGCCCGAGATGCAGTAAAAGAGAATGCCGGCCACCGTACATCCAAACTGGAGCAGCGCGACACCGATAAACACGGATAACATGTATGTGTACATCGATGTCGCTTCCTGGACGCCGTTGCGAAGCGTAAACCACGCATGCAAATTCTCGCCGTCCGTGAGCGCAATGGCCGTGGGACCTTTGTCTGGGAGGACGAACCCGATCTCAGTGATGGTATCGAAGCGCAGCCAGAGTGACCAGATATGGACCGCGCTCTTCTCGAGCAAGTGCGCTATTCCCATCAGCTGCGTGAAGTATTTCAGCGCGAGACACACCTGGACAATCGTCGGTAACGGGTCAGCGCTTGGAGGGAAGGATAAGTAGTTGGTAAAGGTGCTGAGCGATACGACCTCGTACGCGAGACGATAATTGATCGCGAGTTTCTGCACGTCGCTGCACGGCAGAGTGAACCGCACGCGAAGCGTCAGCGCCGACTGATCGTCGTTGAGTTCAATTGTTACGTTCCGTGCTTGTGTGCTGGACATCGATGTCCCACAAAGCAACAATATCAAACGACGTGTTGAAGCGACCGGCAGTGTCATTGGGCGAGAACCAAACGTGATGAGCGGATTTCCCGTAGGCGATGGAGCAACAAACAAGTTGATGAGTGCGTCCGATGTTGATGCAGATGAGCTGCCACAAGCCACCACGGAAAAGTTGACGGTGTACATGATTTGCTTTGGCGACGACACGAGACCGTTGAAACCTGGTGCAGGTACGCCCATGGGTAACGCCCCAGTAGACCAAGTGACGACAACGAGCTCGTTGTACACCATCACACCAAAGATAAACACCCGGACAAAATAGAGCGTCGTTCTGAGCCGCCGTTGCACGTATTTGCCGACATGACTTGACTCGAAGGCTGCTGCGACCAGCGTTGGCGGCACCGGCGTCCCATCTTTTGCCACAAAATTCAAGTTGGTGACGTCCATTTTCTTCGCCTCGGCAGCAAATCTCACGACGTTTGCGTACGTCTCATCTTCGAGCCAGCAAATTACTTCGAGAGCCCTTTTTGTCCCCAGAAAATCCCCCAGTGGCGATATTCCAGCCACCGCAAATGGGTCCATGAGATTAATGACAAAGAATACGAACGTGTGGATCTCCGCCAAGCCCCAAAAAGCAATTTGCGACTGAAACGGACACGTTAGAACCAGCGCCACGATCAATGCCGGCAAGTAGAGGCCGAAAAGCAGTAGGTACATCTTGCGGAGGCTGTACCAAATGGCCAAAGGACGCCCGAGAGTCTAGTGCAATGACGTTGGCGAGGTGCCACGAGCAGACAAGCGATAGAAGAGAGGTACTGTGATGGGTGCGAGCAAGAGCATCCCGATTATCCACGGTCCGTCGGTGCGCCACCGGTGTAAGGTACACAGGTATAAATCGAGCCGCTGTCGACTGTTCCCGACCAATGGTGGGTACTCACTTGCTGGCTTGGCGACAAAAATGTCATCAGGTGCATACGTGTGCTTGTACGCTGCGTAGCAGGACGCACACACCGTGTAGTCGCGAGTTTTGGGCCGCGAGAGCACGTACACCGTCCCCTCGATGCTCTTGCGCTCCCACACCGAGACGCAAGGAATTTCTTGGCAAAAGACTCTGCGAGGACCGTCGTACGTCGGTGTCGGTGGTAGATCTTGGTCAGCAGCACCTTGACCCGTGGTGTCGACTGCCGACTTGGTGTGGTCGTTGTCGACGGTCGTCTCGGCTGCCGTGGTCTTGTCGACATTCGCCGCGATCATTCGGTGCGCCACGTAAGCGGTGATGCGATCGTCGACATTATCGAGCATGAGCATCTCCATCTCGGCCGGCGTGAGCTCTTCATCCTGAGCCTCGTCGTCGCTGGCTGGGCCACTGCCGCGCGCCGTCGCAAGTAAGCGGCGATGCGGTAGTCGGCGCAGTCAAAGGAGAGCATTTCGATTTCCGACGGCGTGAGTTCCGGTTGCATGGTCGCTTGGCACACACGATGATGAATGTGATGTGATGTAACTCTTAAGAGGCTCCACCAATGCACTTGAGATTTAAGATTCTTTCAAGCACGTTCGTTGGGTTGCTTCGAGTACGGTTGGCTCTGGGATGCTGGCGACCTGGGCTCGGGCATTCGCATTGTAATTTACAAAATGGCCCTAAAATATTTTCGTAAAAATATAAAAGGGTTCGCATGGAGGTGACAGAAATTTTATTTCGGTATCCTGATGGTATCATTCGATAGGCAATCGCGAGGCGAAGCCAACACGGTGTGGCACAGTACTCGAATCATTTTCTGGCAGGCGCTGTGATTTTTTCAAGATTTGGGGGTCCTTACAAAGCCAAAGTATACAAATCTCAAGTACTTTACGAAAAGATTATGGGCCATTAAAAGCCATTAAACTTGACGTCTTTTCGCGTTCACCTCCTCCTTGGCGGCATTCCACTTGCCCATCATGGTAGGTACGTCAAGTTTGGAAGCCTCGGGCCCGTCCCGAGCACATACCATGAGATCTTGTAGGTGGCTTGCAGAGAGGGATGTACAGTAACTGTACGGTTTCCGCCTCCACGAGGTTCTGGAGCGAGAAGGCGCGCTCACAATCGACGGAACCCGGCGCGAGAGTCGCAGCAATGGTGATGAGCTGTAGAATGGACGGATACATGTTCGCAACGTGCGAGTCGGTGAGGACGAACGCCAAAAAATCCATTGCCGCGGACTGCGGGGTCGCACACATGACGTATTGCTTAAACGCGCCGTACTGTTGGGCGACGTCGCTGTCTTGGACGTCCGGCAGGTAGATGTCGCGGAGGAATTCGACCTCATCGACACCGTAGGCGACGAGGCTTCGTGGTTGTCGGTGCTAGTCGCCGTCTCCATCTTGCGCTTCTCGGCCCGCTGGCCGTGCTCGTGGGCAAGCCGGAAAGCCGCGGCTTGTGAAACCAGCTTCACGGAGTCGGTGTGACCTTCGGCAATGCTGTGGGCCTTGAGGGTGCTGTACAGGAAACGCTTCGTTGGACCGCCAACGTAGCCGGATCTCCTAAAGTTGTTGTTGGCATTGGCGAGTTGGCAAAAGGTGCAGAACGCGGCGTCCTTGCTCTCGTCGTACACGAGCCACGAGAAATCGTCGAGCCACTTCCTGAGGAACGGTGCCGCTTTGGCCGGAGCCATTTCGGATTATGAGCGACTCTGGAAAGCAGCGCGTCGTGCATGGTAAAGCAGCTTGCTGGCTCTCGCGCTCTTTCCCATGGGCTTGTGAGAAAAAGGACATGTGCCGTGTGTGCATGGTAAAGCAGCTTGCTGGCTCCCGCGCTTTTCCCATGGGCCTCTGAGAAAAAGTACATGTGCCGTGTGTGCCTGTCCGGACTCTCAAAAAGTCCATTAAATGGGGCGCAGGAGCCGGGTTCGAAGTCACTTTTACGAAACAGGTCTCCTGAATTTTCGTAAACTTACAAAAATCCTCACAAAACGACCCTCCAGAATTTTCGTAATTCGCCATGTGTTTACCCAATATTACGAAAATATTTACAAATGCCCGAGCCCTGCTGGCGACGCTTCGCCGTCTCGGTTTTTGCTCTAGAAAATTAGATAATCTTCCATCGAAACGATATATTTTGGTCGTCCCACACCGCCTCCGTTCCTGTCATATCGCTACACACCTACCCTATCCGACAAACTCTCTGGCCTACCAATGACAGCGTGATTGAGATTGATACAAAATACTACACTGTGAACTTCTCCACCTACGAGTCAGCTCATGAAAGAAGATGCAAGGTAAAACATCGTCGGGTCTCGCGCCGCAACACCCGACATGTCGTATTGTTCCAGTCGACGCCCTTTGCCCAAAGGTTGCGTCGCTCCACATCGTCGGCAACGCTTCAAAGCGACGTTTTGCGTCCAAAGAAGAAGAGCTGTAGTGTTCGACCGAACCACTAGAAATATACCGTCGGTAACGCTTTGGTCTCACTGGACATCATTTCGCTTTTCGCCAAGGGTCTGTGGCATACAATGAGCTCTGTGGTCCTGCCCTCGACGGACGACGAAAGCGAGTTTGCTCTCTCCGTCGACCGCACCGAGAACGTACAACCATCAGCATCCACACCACCGACGAAGGTAGTCCGCGACACAACGCACAAGGTGTATTGCCAAGGCGGGGACTGTCGAAAACAATGGCACCAAGATGCCCTCGACCCGACCACAACCACGAGCGTCAAGAACTCGACCGACGTCTACAGCCCCAGCTGCTTTAGCCAGCTTGAGGGGAATCCATCCCCATCCCCAGTTCGCTGGCCGTGGATCATGTCTTCCTTCAAGTACCCAACCCGCGACGCCAGTCTTGACAAGTACAAGGCCATCATGAAGGACTCGCGCGAGCATCTCGGGCTTCTTTGTTTTGTCGTCATCTTTTGGCCGCTGACGGGGGGCTATTTCTACCTCAAGCTGCGAGGGAAACCGCTGCCCGAAGCGACCTATGACTTGGGTTTGAAAGATCATTTGCACTGGATCATGGCTGCCGTCTCGCATCTCCAGTGCTCCTGCTGCTGTGCTTACACTTGGTTCATCTTGGTGGCCATCATTCAAAGCTGCAAGTATGGAGCCCAAGTGTGGTTTTGGGCACTTCTCGAAGTATACACAGTCTACTTTTTACTGCTCAACATCATGTACGTCGCAGCACCCATCATCACTGTCAAGCCAGTACTCGATATCAAATCCAATTGCCCACCGGTAAGCTCTAAAGCCGCACCACCAACAGCAGTCCAGCAGCCGCTGGCGTCCCGTGCATCGCCGCACGACGACAACAACGCCCTTGTTCGTGCGTTGCAAGCGGTGACGCTCACAGTAGTGCCTGTCGCTGGCCTCGGCTGCGTGGAGTACCTCTTGGCCTCGCTTCCCAATACATATCTAATCGCCAAGGTCGGCGAAGACGTCGAAGCGCTTGTCTTTACGGGTGCTGATGGCCAGGCATTGCCGGTTGACACCGCGCCAAGTGCGTTTGCGACGCGGGTCAACACTATTGACCCGCGGGTGTGTTTATATCGAGCGTGTCTCAGTATCACCACCGTCGTCGTCGTCGGCTTGAACATCTGGCTCATGCTCTCGTGGGTCACGCACGCGTGGCCGTCGCAAGACTTTGGGATCCCGATTGACTCTTTGATCCAGCTGCCCGCCAACGTCCACTACAACGTGGCTGGCACCATGACTGATATCTGTCAACCGAACGATGATGGAACGTTCCGCGCAGTGTGGAACTTGGCCTTGACGCCGACGCCGAGCATCATGAACGGGCTCCCGACCATCGAGCTGAGCTTTGCGACAAGGCTCCTCGACCCAGTCTATTTCACAGATCTCGCCGTTGGAACGCTTCGGCTCGTGACGCAGGACACGTACTCGATGACAGTGCGCCCGGCCGTGAACCAACAAAACGTGACGATCCGGGCGTCCTTTGGCAACGTCTCGAGCTGCGACGACATCGCCACTCTGCTAGTCCTTCATTCAACGACGTATTCGCAAAAATCACTTCAAGACCGTCTGGAGGCCGCACCACGAGGCCTGGCACTGCTGCCCACATTGCTTCTGGTGAAGTACTGCTTTCAGATGCTCGTCGTCGCCGGCATTGTCGGGTACTCGTCGCTCCAGATCTTGTCGCTCTGGCTGCAATTTGACGCGCTCACTAAAAAGGTGGATCTGACGCTGCACCAGAATCTAGACGTGTGGCACCGACTCCGCCATCGTGTGTTTAAGGTTGTCACCTTCTACACCGAGTTTGTGACGGCGCTTATGTCGATTGCGCTCGCCCAGCTTGCGGTCGCTTTTGGTGGTCTCGTCATCTACTGCCTCAGCGGCGTCGCGCCACTGCCCGGCTACTATCTTTTGATTCTAACAATGGTCGGGTCGCTCTCGACGCTGGCGTTTCTCTTGCCATTGGCCAAGGCGCTCGACATTCAAGCCAGCCACGAGGCGAAGCTCCACGCCTTGCTCTTGCAACTGCACCACGAACGAGAGCGGCGCTAAACAAAATAGATCGACTAAGCTTGATGTCGTGCGTGTCGCGGCTCATTCAGCT